AGCCGCATGGTTTGATTCTTCATGTCTTTCAGGTCTTTGGCAAAATGTCACCTCCTCAGGGAAGACTTCTCTGTGACCATCCTATTTAAAATTGCAGGCCAGACATGATGGCTCACGCCTGTAATCCCAGCACTTTGTGAGGCTGAGGCGGGGGGATCACCTGAGATCAGGAGTTTGAGACCAGCCTGACCAACACGGAGAAACCCCATCTCTACTAAAAATACAAAATTACTGAAATGTCCATCAATGATAGACTGTATTAAGAAAATGTGGCACATATACACCATGGAATACTATGCAGCCATAAAAAAGGATGAGTTCATGTCCTTTGCAGGAACACGGATGAAGCTGGAAACCATCATTCTCAGCAAATTATTGCAAGGACAGAAAACCAAACACCACATGTTTTCTCTCATAGGTGGGAACTGAACAATGAGAACACTTGGACACAGGGCGGGGAATATCACACACCGGGGCCTATTGGGGGGTCGGGGACTGGGGGAGGGATAGCATTAGGAGAAATACCTAATGTAAATGATGAGTTGATGGGTGCAGCCAACCAATATGGCACATGTATACCTATGTATCAAACCTGCACATTGTGCACATGTACCCTAGAACTTAAAGTATAATAAAAAATAAAATTAAAAATAAAAATACAAAATTAACCAGGCGTGGTGGTGCATGCCTGTAATCCCAGCTACTTAGGAGGCTGAGGCAGAAGAATTGCTTGAACTAGGGAGGCGGAGGTTGCGGTGAGCTGAGATCACACCATTGCACTGTAGCCTGGGCAACAAGAGCAAAACTCCGTCTCAAAAAATAAATAAATAAAAATAAAATAAAATTACAACCTCCTTCCTCTTTCCCCTGACACTCCCTATCCTCCTTCCCTTGCTTATTTTTCTCCCTAGCATTTGCCAGCATCTTTCATGTTAAATATGTGATGTATTTGTTCATCATCCCACTAGAATGGAAGTTCCACAAGGGCATGGGGTTTCTGTCTATTTTGATTACTACTGTGTCTTCAGAGTTTAAAACAGCTCCTGGAACCAAATGGATGCTCAGAAAATATCTGTTGAATGAATGAATTAGTAGAAGAGTGAATAATGCCTTTCCTTCCATTTCCTCAACAATAAGATCTATGTGAATGACCGCATGCCGGTGTGTGAATGTGATAGAAAGCCCTAGGAGAAAGGTCATGTTTAATCCCAAATTAGTGGAGAAAGGGAAAGCAAAGCCTTCAGAAATCTATGAATTACCCAAAGCAGTTCAGATGAATGGAAGGAATTATAGGACAGTGGGTTAGAGACCAGGATTAAAGTCAATCTTTGTCATTAAACGTTTGGGCAAGTTATTTAACCTCTTTGGGCTTCAGTTGTATCACCTGTAAACTAGGGGCAGTGGAATAAATAATCATCAAGCAAAAGTATACAGTGCTTTATAACTAAAAAATGTCTTTCACATGTATTATTTTAACCAGTATAACCAGTTTGTTAGCTTACTCTAAAAGTAACCCCTTTCTCGATTTGTTTCTTGCTACAGAATTACCCATTTACCTGTTTGCTTTTGAATTCCAAAGGCTAATCTTGAAACAATCCAGGCATGAAGTGGAACTGGCAGTTGCAATTTTCCTCCTTCCAAGAAGAAATTGGTGCACAGCTAATCCATAACCTGACCTCCAACGAGATGATGCTAACCAGGCCTCCGGATGGTCAATTACTCAAGCTAGCCATCAGAAAACGACAAGCAGACCTGCAGCCTATGCACACCTTTCCCTTAAAACCCCTTGAGCCAGCCCGAGAATTTGAGCTGACTTTTTGACACTTGAGTGTGTGGCCATCTCCCAAGCTGCTAGCACTTGAGTAAACCTGCTTTCCTTCCATCAAACCTTGCTTCTTGTGTGTCTGGCTTTATCAAGCAGCAAGCAGCTGAACCTGAGTCTGGTTACATTATCTCTGATTCCTGTGAGGTAGCCAGAGCAGGTAGGTAGATGTGAGACAACAAAAAACCTTTTCTTAGTTATTCCCACTTGTAACTCCTCATAAGACCCTAGGGGATGGATCCCACACAAGGAGAATACTTTGTTTTCTAAGCAAGTAATGAGGGACACATTTGGACTTGTAGGAGGGTTACATGGCTTTACCTAAGAACCAGCAGAGATACTAAGGACTAGGCAAGATCTGGCCCCAGAAAGCAGGAGAAGCAAAAGATAGGAGGTGGCAGAGCCCTGCGAGGAGATGTCAGCAAGAGGCATTCTTGTGGCAAAGTGAGCAAGCGGGGCCTGAAAGAGAGAAATAGTAAGAGAAATGGAGCTTGTTCTGTGGGGCATGATGTAAGCACTTTCTACATCTATCTCAGAAAATCCAGGTGGTTTCTGATGCTTTGGCCCAAATGAATGATCTCAGGAGCACAGAAATAGGTGTGGACTCCTGTGTGGAGGCTGCCAGAGGGGAGGGGACAGCCAATGTCTTGGACACATGATGGAGAAAGGAGAGCGAATGCTGCGTTGGAGTAGGGCTCTGGCCCTGAAAGAGAGGCTACTGTGGGCGGCCCCACTTGTTCCTTGACTAACTTCTTAAGGATATGGTATTGCCTGTTGCCCCCCAGGTATCACATAAAGGATCTTATTTGTTATTTTAATTTTTCATCAGTTTGTTATAATTAGACACTCTATTTCCTTGAGCTTAGTGATTACTTTAAGCAGGAAAAGCCTTCTTTGGCTTGATAAAATGGTCATCATGTTAAAACTCGTTAGGGTTAGAATGGAAGAAATCTAGAGCCTTTGCTCGGTGCTTTGACTTAGCAATTCAGTTTTTGATTTTGTACACCTAGGTAAATGAAAAGCGCCTTTAATTCACTTTTGGATAATTAGCACAGAGAGAAAATGACTTTGCATGTCACAATGTGGCATGGTTCAAACAGCAAATGAGAATAAAAGTCAGCACTTCCATAGTTGTACACATTTGCAAGAAATCATTTTCATTTAATTTAAAGTGATAAATCTGGGTAATTACGTGATGATTATTCATAAAACGATTAATCAAACTCATATACATTTTGTAGCATCTCATGCATTACTGCAATTGGAGTATTTTAGGAAAATATATTGTTTGAATTTTAAAATAGCACTCCATTGTATCTCAGCAAAAGTGGAAAAGTGTATCTTGGCTAGTTCTATTTAGTCAATTATTATAATGGAAGGCATTAGATAGTATCCAAGAAAAACAATTATAAATAATATGATGTACACCTGCTTCCAATATGTACTCCCTTATAAACATCCGATGTAATTAAAATATAAATTGGATCTAGAATGGGCATAAAAATCCCTTTAAAAGTACAAGTTTGTCAGGAAGAGATAAAGAACAACAGAAGAATCCTTTCTCCAGTTTCTTTATTTTGTTAAATTCATACATAAGCAGCTTCTTGAGGGTATCTCATGCTTTTACTAGCCATTATTCAGACAAATTTACTCAGACATTTTCCATCTGAGACAGTAAGGTATAAATAAAACCAAAATGAAGATGGCAAAGTTTGGAGGTGATTTAAAAAGCTGGATGTGTTCTTTCTGTTTGTTTCTGTTTATTTTTTATTTTTTTGTTTTGTTTTGTTTTGTTTTAATTGAGATGGAGTTTAGTTTCACTCTTGCCGCCCAGGCTGGAGTGCAATGGTGCCATCTTGGCTCATTGCAACCTCTGCCTCCTGGGTTCAAGCGATTCTCCTCCCTCAGCCTCCTGAGTAGCTGGCATTACAGGCACCCACCACCACGCCCGGCTAATTTTTGTATTTTTTTAGTAGAGACAGGGTTTCGCCATGTTGGCCGGGCTGGTCTTTAACTCCTAACCTCAGGTGCTGGGATTACAGGCGTGAGCCACCGCGCCCGGCCAAAGCTGAATGTGTTCTGAACAGTGGAACATGGTGCCTCAGTCTAGTATGTTTGGAGGAATCCACAGACTGGCTTTTAGACACTAAGCTTCACTATGCGAAGCTTCATTAAATGAAGTGAATTATCACGTGGACTGGGGGGCACCTTTGAAAAGAAGATTCCTTTCTCAGTAGCTTAGAAGCATTCATTTGCATCCCTTGGATTACCTATATTCTCTTTCAGCACAGCAATTTCCAGCTCACTTTAACAAGTCATTCATCATTGGGTAAAAGTGGATTTCCAGATATATTGGGCACTTTTGATCCCTGTTGGTTCAGAGGCCTTCTTTGAAGATCACAGTCAGTGAAAACATTTTTCTGAGGATGACAACAATCCAGAGAATGGCAGGTAACTCTTAGAGCTGGTGTAATAAGCAGTTCATAGTCCCAGATCATTTCCAGATGGGTCGGCAGTCAAGATTAAATGAGCATATTGAGAACTGATAAAAATGAAAAGTTAATTAATGTCATTATCTTGTCGATGAACATTTAGGTTTCTTGCAGTTTTTTGAATTACAAATAATGTTGCAATGACACTTGTATATATGTTTCCCTGAGCCTACGTATAAGATTTTCTCTAGAATATATTCCCATAAGTAGAACTGCTGGGTCAAAGGGTATATACATCTTCAGTTTTGCTAGATATTATCACGTTGCTCCCTAAGTGCCTATACAATTTAACACTTCTATCAGCAGGACATGACGGTTTCTGTTACCCTACATCCTTGCCAAAACGTGGTATTATCTGAATTTTTAGCTTTTGTCCATCCAATGGGGGAAAATGATATTTTATTACTGTTTTAATTTGCATTTCTCTGATGAATAGTCATATTGGACATCTTTTTGTTGTTGGCTTTTCAAGCTTCCTTTTTATGAGTTACCAATTCATACTCTGCTGGCTTCTTTTCCCCCCGTTGATTTGTAGGAGCTTCTTAAAAATATTCTTTTTAAGTTTTATGTGTTGTAAATAGCATCTCCTACTCCACAGAGTTATTTTTCACTTTATTTTTTGGTGCCTTTATAGTCCAGAAGTATGTAACTTTAGTATAGTTGAATTTATTGACCTTTTCCTTTAGAGTTTGTGCCTTTTATATTTGAAGAAATCCTGACTGAGCAGGAACCCACATTCAGGAACAGAGCCCTTTACTCCTCCCACAGAATGAATGGAGACCAGAAATCAGATGTTTATGCCCAAGGAAAGCAGGATTTCATTCAGCACTTCTCCCAGATCATTAGGGTGCTGACTGAGGATGAGATGGGGTACTCAGAGACAGGAGATGCTATTGCCCAGCTCAAGGAGGTCCTGGAATACAATGCCATTGGAGGCAAGTATCACCAGGGTTTGACGGTGCTAGTAGCATCCCGGGAACTGGTGGAGCCGAGGAAACAGGATGCTGATAGTCTCCAGCGGGCCCTGACCATGGGCTGGTTTGTGGAACTGCTGTAAGCTTTCTTCCTGGTGGCAGATGACATCATGGATTCATCCCTCTCCCCCCAGGGACAGATTTGGTGGTATCAGAAGCCTAGCATGGGTTTGGATGCCATCAATGATGCTATGCTTCTAGAAGCATGTATCTACCACCTGCTGAAGCTCTATTACCCGGAGCAGCCCTATTTTTTCTTTTCTTTCTTTTTCTTTTTTCTTTTCTTTCTTTCTTTCTTTTTTTTTTTTTTGAGATGGAGTTTAACTCTTGGTGCCCAGGCTGGAGTGCAGTGGCATGAACTCAGCTCACCGCAACCTCCACCTCCCAGGTTCAAGTGATTCTCCTGCCTCAGCCTCCCAAATAGCTCTGATTACAGGCATGCGCCACCATGCATAGCTGATTTCGTATTTTTAGTAGAGGCAGAGTTTCTCCATGTTGGTCAAGCTGGTCTCGAACTCCCAACCTCAGATGATCCACCCGCCTCAGTTTTCCAAAGTGCTGGGATTACAGGCGTGAGCCACCGCGCCTGGCCTGGAGCAGCCCTATTACCTGGACCTAATCCAGCTCTTCCTGCAGAGTTCCTATCAGACTGATATTGGGCAGACCCTGGACCTCATCACAGCCCCTCAGGGCAATGTGGGTCTTGGCAGATTCACTGAAAAGAGGTACAAATCTATTGTCAAGTACAAGGCAGCTTTCTACTCCTACCTTCCTGTAGCTGCAGCCATGTACATTGCAGGAATTGATGGCGAGAAGAACCATGCCAATGCCAAGAAGATTCTGCTGGACATGGGAGAGTTCTTTCAGATTCAGGATGATTACCTTGACCTCTTCGGGGACCCCAGTGTGACCAGCAAAGTTGGCGCTGACATCCAGGACAACAAATGCAGCTGGCTGGTGGTTCAGCGTCTGCAACAGGCCACTCCAGAACAGTACCAGATCCTGAAGAAGAATTACGGGCAGAAGGAGGCCAAGAAGGTGGCCCAGGTGAAGGCACTATATGAGGAGCTGGATCTGCCGGCCGTGTTCTTGCAATATGAGGAAGACAGTTACAGCCACATTATGGGTCTCATTGAACAGTACGCAGCACCCCTGACCCCAGCCATCTTTCTGGGGCTGCTGCGCAAAATCTATAAGCAGAAAAAGTAACCTAGAGACTGCAAGGGAGGGGAGAGGAGGCTCTCAATAAATTATTGTGTAACCTAAAAAAAAAAAAAAAAAAAGAAAGAAAATAAAAGAAATCCTTCCCTGCACCACAGTCATAAATATATTTTTCTAAATTTGGTTAAAAAATGTGTAAAAGTTTGTTTTTTATAATTGGAATTTATTTTTATTGATTGTATCAGTTCTCTATTGCTGCATAACAAATTAACACAAACTTTACAGCTTATGACAGCATACATTTTTCAGATCACTTTTCCCATAGGTCAGGAGTCTGGCACAACGACATAGCTGAGTTCTCTGTTGAGGAGCTTATAAGATTGAAATCAAGTTGTTGTCTGTCTGCATGCCCATCTGGGACTGGAAGTCCTCTTCCAAACTAACATGACTGTGGTAGGATTTGGTTCTTTTAGCTGTATCACTAAAGTCCCCGTTTCCTTGCTAGCTGTTAGCCAGAGGCTCCTCTTGGCTTCTAGAGGCCATCTACCTTCCCTTCCATGTGGCCTCCTCCATCTTCAAAGCCAGCAATGAAGAACCTGCCTTCTGTTGAATCCCTCTTATGCTTCAAATCTCTCTGTGAGTCTCTTCTCTAAGAAGAGTCCCAGCTTTCTAAAGGGCTCACCTAATTTGGTCAAGTTGACCCAGGATAATCACCCTATCTTAAGGCCAGGTGATTCGGGATCTTAATCACATCGGCCAAACTCCTTCACAGCACCACCTAGATTAGTGTTTGACTGAATAATTGGCTGAAAATGTGTGTATTCCATGGGCCTAGAATCTTGGAAGCCATCTTAGAATTCTGCCTACCACATGGTGGAGGGTAGTGATCCATATTTTTAATGCGTGGATCATTATGTTATTTTCATTTTAGAAAATTTAAATCACATACAAAAGCAGAGACAATAGTTTCATAGTTTCATAAACTCTCATGTTCCCAGCATCCATCTTCTGTGATTCCACATGGCCAATCTATGTCCCAACTCCCTTCTCCCCACACCCTAGGTAATTTTGCAGCGGATCTAAGACATACTGGTTCATCTGTAAATGCTTTCATATGTATATTCAAAGACAGGACCTCTTTTCTTTCTACCTGGAAGTAGCCAGACTCAAGTTTAAGGGCATAGTCCTCCACTGCTAAGTCTGCCCAAGATTTCTGATACCAACTGTAAGTTGGGGTGGGGCTGGGGGGTGTCCCAAAACTAACATGGTTGTGGTAGGATTTGGTTCTTTTGGCTGTATGACTAAAGTTCCCGTTTCCTTGACAGCTGTTAGCCAGAGGCTCCTCTTGGCTTCTCAGTTTTAATAATTTGCTAGAAAGACTCATAGAATTCATCAAAACCCAATATACTCACAGCCATGTTTATTACAGGCAAAGAATGCAAATTATAAGAGACACATGGGGAAGAATCCTCGATTGGGAGGGTTCCAAATATGAAGCTGCTGTGTCATCAGGGATGTGTTAACCTTCTGGCATAGATATTTGGCAATACATGCATGGAGTACTGCCAACCCAGGAAGCTTGCATAGGTTTTGGTGTCCAGAGTTTTTGCCAGGTTCATTATGTAGGGATGGTTGGTAGAATGATTACCCATGTGGTTGAACTCAAGCTCCAGTCACACTCTACTCCCACAGGGCAGGCTAATATCATGTGGCTCAAAGCCCCAACCTTCTAATTACGTGATTGGTCTTTCTGGTAAGGCCAGCCTCCACCCTGAGCCATCTATTAGCTTAAACTATCAGGTAGGGTCTGAGGGGTCCACCCTGCCTAACCAAGATGCTCCTAGCACTTGGGAAATTTCAAGGGTTTAGAGGTTACCTCCCAGGAACTGAGGATAAAGGCCAAATTCCTTTGTTTTTCTTCTCTCTTTATTCCTTCATTCCTTCAGAACCACAATATCATTATCACACTTAAAAAAATTAAACAATTCGAATTTTCATTAAATATCCAATAAATGTTCTATTTTTTCCCATTGGCTCATAAATAAAACCAGTTTTTATCTTCAAATTAATATCCTAACAAGCTTCACACATTGTACTTCGCTAATATGAATCTTAAGTTTCTTTTAGTTTATAGGTTTCCTTTCCCTTTTTGTCCCCTTGCAATTTATTTGTGGAAGAAAGTGAGTCATTTGTTCTATAGAGTCTATCACATTCTGAATTTGCATAAATTACATAACTATACAATTCACCCACATACTGTTTACACTTAACATATTCGAATTAACTTAGCTAGAGCAGACAGTTCAAACACACCTTGTGGTACGGATATCATAGGCACAATTCTAGAAACCCTTGTGAAGCATTTAGCGAACAACTTGGTGACTTGGGAAGCTCTGGAATATCTGTTCTAGTCCATCTCGATCCATCCTCCAAGCTTTGCCGCGTGTTACTTTGAATTAATGTATACTCCAGTGCATGGAGGGTCCAAGGACTTCAAGGCCTATTTCTTTTCTTTTTTTTTTTTTTTGAGATGGAGTCTCGCTCTGTCATCCGGGCTAGAGTACAGTGGCGCGATCTCAGCTCACTGTAACTTCCATCTCCTGGGTTCAAGCGATTCTTCTGCCTCAGCCTCCCAAGTAGCTGGGACTACAGGCACATGCCACCACACCCGGCTAATTTTTTTTTCTATTTAGTAGAGACGGAGTTTCACCATATTGGCCAGGCTGGTCTCGAACTCCTGACCTTGTGATCTGCCCGCCTCGGCCTCCCAAAGTACTGGGATTACAGGCGTGAGCCACTGCGCCCGGCCATCAAGGCCTATTTCTACATGACAGACACTTCATAGAGGCCTGTTACTGCAGTGCTGCCAAGGGGATTTTTAAGAATGAAGCAAACTGGCGTGTCTGTCTGTGACTTGGAACTGCTTGTAACTTCTGCCCATAAAGAAATGAAGATTTGACCAATGAGAGCTTTGGTCAAACCTTTGGGTCCACCTGTATGAACTCTGGAAAAACAAAACTGGAACTCTGGTTGGATTGGAAAGCTGGCTTTCTGGGCCCTGATGACCTTCAAGTCAGGATGTCACAGATTTACAGAATGCAACTGTAAAAAGCCCAACTAAATAAAACTGTCTCTGTCTCAGAAACAGGCATATCTTTTTAAAAAGGTCTTCGAGAAGTGTTTCAAGTGCTGAAATGGATGTGAGCTATCTAATTCTCTTCCACCATAAAGGCATTGGAATTATGTCTTCCTATAATATGACATGCCATGAACAGTATCATTCTATACAGTGCAGTTAATGGTAATGTTGAAAACTGAGCCCCAAATAAGTGCCTTTAAAAATCCTATTGCAATTGTCTTGCAGCTGACGAATCTATAAAAGCCCTTTCTCTAAGAGAGTTTCATTGTCATGTTCAGAGGAGAAATTGGCCCCTCACGATAAGTATGCATTAGGTGTTCCTAATGTATTTTCAAAGAGACAAGGCTAGTTCTCTCAGTTGTGTCTTTAGTCCAGGTTTCTGTCCTGTTAAACACAGTGTGAGGATGGGACAGATGCCATGACCATTCCATGAATCCTTTTGTAACCAGAAGGAGCCCTTGGACTATGGGACTCCGTGAGGTACTTTGACCAAATGCCAAGGTGGATTACAAACATAGGTTTACAAACTGATTTACCACAGTGTTGGAACTCAGAAACACACATCGTCCTATCCCCTGAACCTAGAACTCTGTCCATCCTGAGATCTGTCCCTCCACCAGATGTTCAGTGATTTAGCTATGAAGCCCAAAGGAACCAAGCAAGTTCCTTTTTAAATTTAATTTAATTTTTATTTAATTCAATTAATTAATTAATTAATTTTTGAGACCGAGTCTCACTCTGTCTCCCAGGCTGGAGTGCAGTGGCACGATCTTGGCTCACTGCAACCTCTGCCTCCTGGATTCAAGTGATTTTCCTGCCTCAGCCTCCTGAGTAGCTGGGATTATAGGTGTGCACCACAACGCCCGGCCAATTTTTGTATTTTTAGTAGAGACGGGGTTTCACTATGTTGGCTAGGCTGGTCTTGAATTCCTGACCTCAGATAATCCACCCACCTTGACCTCCCAAAGTGCTGGAATTACAGGCATGAACCATCATGCCCAACCTTTTTTTTTTTTTTTTTTTAAAGACAGCAAGTTTTCGTTCTTTCTTTTTTTCTTCTCTTTTCTTTCTTTCTTTTTTTTTTTTTTTTTTTGAGATGGGTTCTATTTCTGTCACCCAGTCTGGAGTGCAGTGGCATGATCATGGCTCACTGCAGCCTCGCATCCCAGGCTCAAGTGATTCTCCACGTCCTGAGTAGGTAGGACCACAGGCGTGCACCACTATACCTGGCTAATTTTTGCATTTTTAGTAGAGATGGTGTTTTGCCATGTTGCCTAGGCTGGTCTCGAACTCCTGGGCTCAAACGATCTGCCCACCCCGACCTCCCAAAGCGCTGGGACTACGTGTGTGAGCCATTGCGCCCGGCCAGACAGCAAGATTTCATCATAATAGGCAAATTCTTTTTGAGAAGCATTGGGCTGCTAACCGTGGTGGGTTTCAAGGATGAGGTCAGTAACTTTGTTCCTCTTCGGCTGCCATCCCTGAGCTCTTCATTTGAACCACCATGGTCAGTTTCTGGGAAGCAGTTGAGAGACTGTCCGGTGGAGGGAAGCTGTACCCCTGGAAGCAAGTTTCCAAGAGAAAGTGGTGCTCTGGAGGAGGAGCTGCTAGAAGAAATCCTGTGTTGGGAGCCAGCAAAGGTAAACTTGTAAGATGGCTCTGAAGAGTTTGACTGAGTGTTGTTTGGCCATATGGCTCAGGGAAGTGGAGGATGAGGCTGGGTTCTTAAAAGAGCTGCTGCTGGGGGCTGAAAATGCCTTCTGAAGAGGCTGCCCTGGAGAAATGGATATTGAGACTCAGAGGAGGAAGATTTGCGGTCTGAGAGGTTGTTGCCAAATGGAGCTGAGTGGAAAGTGGGAGTGAAGCTTTTGTGCTGTCGATACCGTTCATAAAAGACTGACTTGGGTCCAGGTTTGGGTCCTCATTAGATGTCTGTGGCAAACTGTGG